TCAGTAATAATTTTAAAATATTATTTTTATCCTTAGTTTAAAAATTCCTGACTGTTATAAGAAAACTCATGAATCTGGCTGTGGAAAAAAAATGGAGGAATTTTTTTAAAATATGAAGGGTTTATTACTCAAATTTGTCACCATAAATAAAGAAAATAGTTCCATGCCTTTTGCAAATCTTGTCTGCGCCAAATTAATATGAATTGGTGCAGATATTGAAGAAAATGATGTTGATGAACAACAAAAGGAAAAACAAGTTGTAGCATCATAGATTAGTTCAGAATACAAGAAGATGATGATCACTCCAGTAGAGCAGGTAATGAAAAATTAATTTTATCTAAGGATCTTCTTAGTGCTCTATTAAACATTGAAAATATATAAGAAGTGATGCAGAATTACAAAAGGAAAATGAAAGATTATGGACAATTGTTGCAGGACAGTTTTTGGCTGAAGGAGAATTAGTTTTCTGTGGCTGTTTCATTTACATATTGTTCTAATACTGGTAATCATCTTGGATGTATTGATCTTTTGTCTGAATTTGATCCATTTCTTAAAGATTATATTTGAAGGCACAGAAATCCTGGAAGAGGAAGTGATTCATATTTTTCTGCAACTACATGTGATGAATTTATAGATTAGGATCTAAAGTAACAACACAGTATCAAAATAGAGATGATAAATATTATGGAATCAGCTTAGATTCAAAACAGCGCATAGATTTTAGATATCACTTACTTAGTGATTTTGTTACGTACTCAGAAATGGAAAGGTGGCTGAGAGATTTAAATTTATCCCTATTGAACAATGTGATGGGAAAAATTTTATATTTTATGTTGCACTCTCAAGCAATATGATACAGACATAAAAAACAGCAGATCCTGATCATATGATAATGCAAGCAATATGAGTGGCATGTATTCTGGAATGCAAGCAAGATTTTGTTCAGCCAAATGGATTACTTATGCTCCACATAGTTTAAACTTGGTTGGAATAAATGCAGCAGAGTTCGAAAAACTATATCTTATCACAGACAAAATTATCTTCCCTGTCTCTGCTTTCTGTGGAAAGTAATGCATTAAAACAAATGCCCATTGACAATGCCCTTCTTGAATTTGCCAGTAGGAAATGCTGCAGAGTCAACATTTGGTAAATGTACAATTTTAACTCTTGAACAACCATTCTTTTTTAATGTTCTTTAATAACTTGTTTGCTGATGTCTGCTATTTATTTATAATGTTAAACAAAATGTTACACAAAATGTTAAATGTTAATGAACATTATTTATAATATTGAATAATATAATTATTGGATTTTTGAATTATTCATTAATTCAGAAAAAGTAGAAAATTGTTTTTATAGCCCTCAAAAATGGGCACCATAATTGATTTATATTCCTCCATATTCTTGCCAATATTTTAGCCTCACTCTTTAAAAATAAAAATTTTAAATGGTATTGCAAAATCAAATCAAGTACTGTATAATAGAGAAGTACTATCTTAAATATCTTTAATTTTAGGATATACAAAATTTGATTTTACTGTTACTTTTTAAATGTAACTTCAAAACATTTTTGTAGACCCCTTAAGTTTTGTAGGTACTACGCCTATTTTGCCTAAGGGATAATATGAACATAGTTAGTCTTTTACAGTATAACAATGAAGAATCCTGAAGAACCTTAACATTTATTCAATATATTATATCATTTAATGCATTATATTGTTATCTGAATTGCACTCCGCTTCATCAAATACATGTTTTGTCTTGAGGAATAGTATTTGTGTGCACACAAACCTGCTATTGGGAGGGAAAGGAATAGAGGGAGAGGTGAGAGATAAACTAACAATTAAGAAAACAGTTATGTGTAAGAGACATTCCAGGGATGAAATTAGCACATGTAAAGTGATAAGGGATTTTGATTTTTGATATACGAAAAATTATATCTTCTGTTGAACCTTAGATCAGCTACTTGATGATGAAATTGCTTTTATTTAGTGATTGAGTTCAAAAAGCTAAGCAGTGTCTAACCCGTACAGATCATCCTTGACTTATGACAATTGGGACTGGAACTTCTGTTGCTAAGCAATGCAGTTGTTAAGGGAATTGTGCCCGATTTTATGACCTTTTTTGTCGCTGTCATTAAGTGAATCATTGCGGTCATTAAGTGAATTTCGCTTCCCCCATTGATTTTGCTTGTTGGAAGCTTCCTGGGAAAGTCACAAATAACGATCACGTGACTCCAGGACACTGCAACTGTCATAAGTGCGAGAACCAGTTGTAAGTCACTTTTCAGTGCCGTCATAGGTTCAAACGGTGGTTAAATTAATGGTTGTAAGTAGAGAACTACCTGTATTTGGATGTGAGACCACCAGGAAATATCATAGCTGCAAGCTACACTAAGTCAAAACAAAATCCAGGAAGATGCCCATGGATTTTTGTAATCTGCATTACTGCCAAGAAAATTACATGGTCATTATCAAATCTCTATGAGCTGTGGTGACTTTTAGACTGAGTGCATGGAATTGGGGTAAATAGACTTTGCTTTTTCATTAGAGATTGTTAAGTGAATGTGTATATGTGGGAGCAGCCCCATTTTAGAGAAGTGTGGTTCTTGGAGTAGCTAAAGCAAGAAGGTGGAGGAAGGTATAATTTCCAGACTGAGAAATACTTCAGGGTGATTGTGGAGGATGCAGACTTCCTTGAAAAAAACTTAATAAGTGATTATTATCACATACAATGTACTTTTCACAGGTAATAGTGGTGATTCACAACCATGTGAGAGTTGGATGCCAGGGTAGCTGGAAAATAAAAACCCATAATTAAAAAAAAAAATTTTTTTTAATGTTAACTAGAGTTTTTGTTTTTTAGATTAGCAAATGAGGCATAGACTACCAGCTGTTGTTGAACAGCTTCTGTATTTTCAGCCAACGTGATGATTAAGGCTGGTCTGTGGTTCAACATTTGGAGAGGCAAACATCTTAAGAGGGGATGGTTGGTTTCCTTCAGTTGGGAGATGAAAGGGATAGGGGTCAGAAATTATGCTTGCTATCCTGACTTTCTGGGATATGATCTTGTCTCCCTAAAATCCAGCTAGTCCCTGCTTAGTCAACTTTGAAATGCAGTAGAAACATAGCTTTTCTGACAGAACTTTGGAGACTAAGATCTATGCTTTGCTCCCTATACAATTGGAAGTGGGTTATTTTAAATTTTATTGAACTGCCTAGAGATGAGTAATGGTGCCGGTATATTCATGTGAGAAATAGTGTATAATCCTTAAAATCCTGAAACTTTATCTATTCA